AGGATGAATAGGTTGCCTTCGTGTGCTCTGTGTTTGGGTCAGACAAGGGGCACGAGGGCGAATGCCACAAAGGTCTTATAGGTTAGTACCATCACCTTGAAACTGGTATGGAAGTGAACAGAATATCCCATGTTCAATTCAACAGGGCCTTCCCAATTCTTCCTACAGATCCTCCCTTTTCTTTGAGTGATCTTCTTTTCCAGTGTCTTCTGACCCTCCTTTCCACCCCCTCTCCTATCACTTCTTTCTCCCTCCACTGCAGTCTGGGTCATCAAAGGCACTGGGATTTTAAATGTCTGGAAACGTCTAAATGCCCTTGATCACCAATTGTGGTCTACCAGCGATTCCTTCCTTTTCCGTTCCTTCAAAATGCTCAGGTTCCTTTCTGAGGAGAAGCAAAGATAAGAGCAGAACTGCTGTAACAGGGTCCTTTTGCATATTTTGGAGCTCACCGTGCAGACAGTATCAGTGGTTCAGTCCTTGTGCAATCATCTTCCCATGTTCCATGGAAAGGAGACATTTCTTGCAAGAAAAAAAAGTTCAAGCACGTTTTAAAAAGTTTTATCCCACACCAGTTTGCTCCTGTCACAGTTTTTTATGTATTTTATTTTAATTAATATATTAGGTTTTTTTTAAAAAAATGTAATTTTTTTAATTCAAGCAAAATTCTATAGAACTCTGATTAATGTGTTCCTAAAGCCTGTTGGCTTTAGAGACATGGTGGCGCTGCGGGTTAAGCCGCAGAAGCCTCTGTGCTGCAAGGTCGGAAGGCCAGACGTCATGAGATCGAATCCACGCGACAGAGTGAGCTCCCATCGCTTGTCCCAGCTCCTGCCAATCTAGCCATTTTAAAGCATGTAAAAATGTGAGTAGATAAATAGGTATCACCTCGGTGGGAAGGTGACACTGTTCCGTGTTTAGTCGCGCTGGCCACGTGAGCGCGGAAACTGTATTCGGACAAATGCTGGCTCTACGGCTTTGAAACGGGGATGAGCACTGTGCCCTAGAGTCGGACACGACTGGACTAAATGTCAAGGGGAACCTTTACCTTTACCTAAAGCCTGTTGGAGCCAGGTTATTAGAGCACTTAGCCTCGTGGGTTAAACTGCAGCCCTGCAGTGATGGCTCCACTCAAAACCTGAGTTCAATCCTGAGCTCAGGTAGCTGGTTCAAAGTTGAATCAGCCTTCCATCCTTCTGAGGTCAATAACTTCAATACCCAGGGTGGGAGGTGCAATGTGTAGCCTGACTAATTAAATTATAAACCACCCAGAGATACCTTTAGGCATGATGGGGCAGTACATAAGCAGCACAATTTGCTTTTAGCAATCAGGGTATGCGGATGCTTGTGATGATAAATGATCAAATTATCAATTAAGTTTATTGTCATTGTAAATATACACCTAGTATACCCATACAACGAAATTCACACAGACACCCAGAGACCAGACCCACACGCACACACATAGAAAATCCCCAAACTCTCCCTACCCACTAAAAATCCCCCACTAAGAATACAAACATCTACACCACAGGCTGTTAATGAGTCTGTTAATTATGATTTCTCATAGTTTCAGATCTTTTTGCAGTCTTTGGCTTGTTCTGTTCCTGTTTCTGCATCAATTTTCAGTTCTTTTTTAAAAAATCCATATGAAATCTCATGTGTTTTTCTGTGTATTTCTCTTTTCACACTTTTGCTTAATACGTACACCTTTGCCAGGATTTTCTCCTTATCTCATGAATGGGCAAACAACAGCCCTCCAGGTGTGGCTGGGTGGCAGTTCCCGATGGTGGAGAGGTGAGCTGGAACTGATTGGGAGCGACGGCCCCACACCTTCTGGGAGCCTACCCCACCTTTCCCCACCCACTGCTTTTTTGTACCTCTCCCCACATTTGTTTTTGTGGCGTACACATTTTTATAAGCAGTTTTTGCTCAGAGGGTCCCTTTGCCAAATTCAGGGAAACGGTGGTAGCAACGGACAGCTGTGTTCTAACACACCCCATTAATTTGGAAAGTGCTCGTTTGGCCCATTCATCTCGTAAGAATGCAAACTGAACTGAAACCCCATCATTAAATTTCTAAGCAAAATTTTGTGTCCTTCCCCTGTCTGTGCTGCTGCTTTCCTTTCTCCAGCTCTTTTGCTTTTCCTGCCATCATTCTCTCTATAATCTCCCGGATGCACATACGCACCCCCCTCTCACTCCCACCACTGGTTATCTTGTCAGCTGAATCTCGGAAGAGAGATAAATGATGTTGGAAAGCAAGCTAATAAATGCAGGGATGAGCAGTTCATTTTGCACTGATTCGGTAGTAGAGTCAATCTCTACAGTGCTTTGAAGAGCGACAGGAGGATGCTGATGGTGATGAGGATGCTGACAGGTTCCAATTCCAAGAAGCTTTCTCAGAGCAAAGGGGAACCCTAATCTTTGGGACCTGTTCCTTCTGAGCCTCCTTTTGGGGGATGTCAAGATCTAGCTGGTGCCTTTGTTCCCTGGGTATGAGCTTCTCACATGCACATCTTCTGTCCTTGTGCATCACTATCTGTGGTTCTAAAATTAACAAAAGGTTAATTTTGGCACGAATTCTGTCCTGTTGTTGTCCTCCCTCCCCGACCATGGAGTGAACTAGTTCATCATGAGCCTTCTCTGCGGCTGCTCCTTTAGACTCTGGAACTCCCTCCCACTGGAGGCCAGCCTGGCCCCATCTCTGCTGTCCTTCTGCAAGCAGGCCAAGACCTTTCTCTTCAGGCAGGCTTGCCTTTCAATGGCTGTTTCGCCAAGGGAATTTTTTAAAGGGAGCATTTTATTTTCTGTTTTGCTTGTGTTTTCAATGTTGTTCTTTTACTGAGTTTTAATATGATACTCTTTGATGCTTTTTTTTAAAAAAGTAAAAAATTATTATATGGCTTTCAGCTTTGTTTCTTTAAAATACTTTAAGCCTCCTTGGATCCTTCAGGAGAACAGTGGCATACAAATAGAATGAATGAATGAATGAATGAATGAATGAATGAATGAATGAATGAATGAAATTATATCATTTGCATCTAGTTACTTTCCAGACTCATTAGGTCTGTTCCTTAGGTCTGGGCTGTGGTTAATGCAACATTAATGCTTCTTTTTGATTACTCATGAGGAGGGTGCAATAGTGCTTAACCTTTCCTATACGAGGTGACCCCAGGGTCATTTATCTGTATGTTATCTGACTGTATCAAGGAAAGGAATGATTTGACACCTGCAGTAGCTCACTGGGAGTCACTGCAGCAGCTGGAATACCTCCTTATAGAACAGAGTTGGGCAAAGGATAGCTTGATGGCTGTACATCCCCCCCGTCACCTTTGCAGCACTTGCTTGCCCCTCTTGAAAACAAAATCTGCAAAACAGCGGTCCTTTTCCAATGCATGGAAAACCCAGTGGAGATGGTTTTGCAATAAGACAGAGGGCAAGATAGCCCAGCAACTCCCCTGCCCTGAACTCACCCAGGATGACATCAGAAGAAGACTTCCCCACAACATTTTGCTTTTAATTTGGTCTCACGGGGGGGTGGGGGGTGGCGGCGCTGCTGCAGCCTCTGGTGGATTTTAGGATAGAAAATTGGCTGCTGGACTCACCCAAGGTTCTGAGGGCCATGGATTAGCAAAAAGTTGATTTGGAAGAAGCTTGCAAACCAACCATGGATTGAATGACTTTCTGAAAAGCATTCGCACTGAGAACATGGGTACCTCGCTCTGAGTGTGGGGCTTGGAAATGCTCCAGAGTATTTGTGTCCCATTAAGTTTGATTTGTGCCCCAGATCCAAAGCCACTGACTTTCCACTGGAAAACCGAAATGGCTATGCCCTTTCTGGTTTTGGACCAATCGACCCACAAGTTAGAGAGACCTGGTAGACCCTAAATTGCAGAGTTTCAGACTCTGAAACTCTGTTTCAGTTGTCTGAAACTGCCTAGTTTCAGACAACTAGCTTCAGGAGCTACCCACAAGGAAACACACACTCTTGCCTGATTTTCACAACTCTCTGGCCCCCAAAATATAAGAGTTCAAAGGTGACAATTATTGCTACAGCAGATCTTAGGAAGAGTAGCCAGGGGAAAAAAAGCAGGTATAAAGTACTGGTCATTTTTTCTACAAATTGAGCAGTAATGTCATCAGCAGGAAAGGGTTTCTTTGAAAAGCAGAGCAGACTCCTCATTAAGCTGTTCTATGTGATTTTGGTTTCGTCCTTCCAGGGATCTCAGCGTCGATGCTGGCCTGACTCACAGCCAGTTCCAGGTCAGGCCGGTCCCGCAGCATTATCAGCATTACTTAGCCACTCAGAGAATGCACCACTTCCCACGGAATACATCTTCAACGCAGATGGTGAGTGAAGGTGGCATCGCTAGAGGTTGGCGTTAGGACTGTACAGCCAGGGTAGCCCATGATAAAAACGGTAGAAAAAATGGGAAGGAAGGAAGGAAGGAAAGCAAAGCGTGCTGCTTATATACAAAGCGTGCTGCTTATATACTGCCCCATAGAGCTTCAAGCTCTCTGGTGGTGGTTTACAAGTGAATTATGCAGGCTACATGTTGCCCCCCCCCCCAAAGAGCTGGGTAGTCATTTTACTGACCTCGGAAGGCTAGAAGGCTGAGTGAACCTTGAGCTGGAGCTACCTGAGATTGAACCCCAGGTCATGAGCACAGTTTTGGCTGCATTACATCAGTTTAACCACTGCGCCATGAGGCTCTTCATGAGGGAGGGAGGAAGGAGCTGTTGTTGGAGGGAGGGAGGGAGGAAGGGAGGAAGGAAGATCTACTAATGATAAATCTCAAAATTATATCACCATCAAAATTACTGTGGAGGGAGGGAGGGAGGGAGAAAGGAAGATCTACCAATGATAAACCTCAAAATTATATCACCATCAAAATTACCGTATTTTCTGTGTATAAGACGCATCCTGGAAATTAAGATACTAAGTGGGGCTTAGCACGTAGAGGGGAAAGCAGGGATCAAAGCCTTGCAGGATCACTTTGATCCCTGCTTTCCTCTCCAGTTATTTTTGTTCTCTCCTCAGCTTACTTCCGTGTACAAGACGACCCTCAATTTTTAGTCTAAAGATTTTAAACAAAAGTATAGTCTTATACATGGAAAAATACGGTATATTAATGACCTCTATTATGCAGTTAAACTAAAATATGGCACCCATGATCTGTCAGACAGTGTAGTGTGGAACCCCTCAAAGCAGCCCCATTAAATAATCTTGCTTTTAAAAAGTCCCACCTGGGGAGATGGGGAAAAAGTGAATTGCTGTTTCCAGAATCCTCCAGGATGAGTGCCTTTTAAATAGTTTTCAGCCTCCTACACAATTCCCATTTTTCAAAACTGAAAATGGACTTTTGCAGGCCATTTGGTCCCGAGAGGACAATAGCCACAGTCCTGGTGGGCCCCCCAAACCCACCAGAGGTGCCCTCCCTGAAATACCCAATGAGACCTTTGTATCTGCCAGCCTTGAAGCCAATTCAATAAACATTTCCAGAACTGCAGCAACATTATGAAGGAGTCAATGTTATTTTGGTCCCTCAATTTTCGGAGAGGCATGAGAGCATGTATTTCGGTCAAATGTGGGTGTAAACTATTGATGTACCGCATTCCGTCCTGCCATGGAGAGATACCCTTTGTTGGTCTGATGAAGTTCCTAGCATCATTTCAAAAGATATTAGGTTGTTTGGCTCCATTAAGCGCTATGGGATGAACTGTTAGCAAAATTAGCTGGTGCAATCATTTTCTTTATTCTAAAGCTCGAATCTTGCCAGTACACCCATTAACTCTAATTGGAAATCAACAAATGGCTCTTACTTCTCCTTTTGTTAGACCTGAATGGTATTCCCAGGCATTGCAGCCTTCTGTCGGGGATTATATTTACTGAAGTTCAGAGAAATATGTACATTCAGGGCTTTTTATCTTTACATTTTGACATATCCAGTGAAATGGTTTGCTAGCGCTGGATGGCTTTGAGCTAACTGGGGGATTCAGACAATAGTAGTCTAACAACAACAGCAGCCGTTCCAATTCTGGACAGATGACATGAGGCTATGCTGTCTCTCTCTACAAGAGGGTTCCATATGTCCAAGTCTGACCTTGGACTGTTTGCTTGGGGAAGGTTGGCATAATTTCCCAGCTTGAAAATAATGAGGTTTGGCAGATCAGAACCCTCACCTGAAACAAGACGAGTATTTCATTCCTGAAAGTTCTTCTGTACCTTGGATTCTCATTTAAGTTACAGAAGAAGCCACCTACTCAGCGCGACATACCTCCAAATTTCCTTTTTCCTCTCTCCCTCCCCTTCCCTGAATCTTCTTTTCTGTAATGGTGGTGTGATGGGATTATAGGAACTCGTAGTCCAAAGGTTAAAGTTTATGTCCAAGGCACTGAACTGGCATAGGACTCAGCATCTTAGTTAGCTCCTGTAACAACGGCAACAATGTGTTGTCAAATCTGTACTGACTTATGATGACCCCTTTCAGGGTTTTCTAGCCATAGGCATCCTTTAGTCTCGAGAGACTATGGTATCATGCTTTGAATGGAGGACTTGGAACAGCGTCTAGTGTGGCTGAGAAGGCCAATTTGAGAGTGATCATCCCTTCCACACTGAGGACAAATACAATCTGTCCCCTGTCCAGCTCCCTGGTTTTGCTGGTTTCGAGACCGCCTCTTTGCCTCGGCCTGCTGGACAAGGGTCTCTTCAAATTGGGAGAGGCCATGATGCACTGCCTGCCTCCAGGCTGAACGCTAAGACATCAAGGTTTCCCATCTGTTGAGGTCCATTCCTAAAGACTTCAGATCCCACTTGCAGATCTCCTTGTATCACAGCTGTGGTCTCCCTCTGGGGCAATTTCCCTGCACTAATTCTCTGTACAGGAGATCTTTTGGAATCCAACCATCAGCCATTCTCACAAGTTGCCTGAGTCAATGTAGACGTCACTTTTTCAGTAATGTAAACATGCTAAAAATTCCGGCTCGATCTAGGACTACTCTATTTGGAACTTTGTCCTGCCAGGTGATACCAAAAATGTGTCGAAGACAACACATATGGAAATCAGGGTTTTGTAGACTCTAGAGAATACACAGAAGTGGCTTACCATTCCTTTCCTCTAGGGGGAACCCTGGAACTGTGCAGCTGGCCCAAGGCTACACAGGCTGGCTCTACTTGCAGGAGGCAGAGTCGGGATTTGAACTCTCAACCTCTAAACCATTGAGCTATCCAGCCAGCTAGCTCCTGCAAAAACTGGATTAAAACCTGAAGCAGATTCATAGCTGTCCCAAAACTGAAGTTGTGATCCTCCAGTGTTGTGGTGGAGGAATTGAGGGAAGACTCTCTCTCTTTGGCACCTGAATGCCATTATACAGAGCATGGGAAATTTGGTTTTTTGGGGGGCTAACATTCCAACATGAATGTGACCCAACTCCGGGAGGCAGTGGAAGACAGGAGGGCCTGGCGTGCTCTGGTCCATGGGGTCACTTCAACAACAAACATTCCCTCAGCCAGCTTGGTCATGAATTGGATTCTGGGAGTTATCATCAGATAGCTTTTCCAAACTCCCCTCTTGTGGCTAAAAACTGATGTGACAGGAACTCTGGTAAAGGCGGTTTTCCCAGGACTCACAATACTCTGTCCTGAAGGGAATATTTTATAGATTTAAAAAAACTGTATATATCAGGGAGAAAGGTGGCCTAAAACCTTCTCCTGGGAATCTTAGGGTCCTTGGTGGAGGCGTTTTTGTTCCGTCGCCGCCGCCGCTTTATTATGGGGGAGCCGTGAATCATACGATTCCTCCATCTGTCTTTTGCAGCACTACAACCCGGGGACAGTTCTTAACACCCTGTTTGCTATTTGTGTAGACCAGACCTGACTCACTGTCTGGGAGAAGGCGGTCGAAATAACAGGCGTCTCTCAGCCCCGTCGCCTGTTTTGTAGTTAGGAGGTGGTGTCGTGGGAGGCGTTCTGTCTGGATGGATAACGTGACAGATTTCCCCCCAAAAAATGAGGCTAAAAGCTGTATTCTTTCACACGCATGCTAGGAAAGACATCCATCACTGATCATAGGACTGAACCCCAGCATTTGTCAAAATGATTTCTGATGCTCTGATCTTGCAACGCCTAAGCTATTCACCATTTCTAGAAGCCGCTATGTCATATTTCGTAGGTGGGGGGGAGAGAGAGAGAGAGAAGCAAACCTTTAAACGCTGTTTCTCCACACTGCCTCACAGGTTGTCCACGAAATTAGAAACTACTCTTACCCTCAGCTTCAGCTCCTCGCTCTTCAGGGACTGAACCCGAACAGACACACCTCTGCTGTGAGGGAAAGTTACGAAGTAAGTTTGGCTCTTACTCCTTCCCTCTTGCAAATTTTGTGTGGGTTGATGAAAACATTGTGTGTGTTTAGAAGAAATGTGCAGATTTGTGGTTCCTGGACTACAACTCCCAGAACCCCCCCAGGCTGCTCTGGGAATTCTGGGGAAATGTAACCCCAAAACAACAATCTCTACACCTCTAGCTTTCAGCATCTTATTATTTGTCAGTGACAGGAAAGATTCATGGATCATGATATATTACTGTGGTGTTTTCAACGTCCCATCTTTGAGGCTAATAAACAAATAACTATTGATTGATGGAAGGATGGGTCCTGACGACGGACGCAGTGTGATCTAAACTCAAAAAAAGGGAGTAAAAATAACTCACTTAGATTCAGAAGAAAGAGGTGGTGAGATTTTTTTTCTCTCTTTGAAGGATTTTTTTTTAATCTTTGAGGAAGAAGTAGACACCTTTGGGAAGACAGCCAGGAAGATAAGATGAAAGAGTAACGAAATAAATATAGGATGGATAAATTTAAAAAAAAAAGAATTAGAAGAACAAAGGAACCACGAGGTGCTCCCTGGAGAAGATGGTGGAACATCAATAGGATGGCATGGTTTCCCCCGTCTGCTGACGGAAGCAACCCCAATGTGGTTTCAGAAATCACCATGACAGTTTTGTCTCCTGCCAGCAGTCGTTCAACCCTCTTGAGGGCCAGGAAAAAAGGGTGTAAAGGGTGTGTCAGGGAGACCAAGTGTACATCTCCCCCCCCCATTCCCTCAGCCTGCCCTCATAAGACCTTAAAACCTAGACCTTGGGAAGTTACATGTCAGACCAATCAACAGCACAATATTTGATTTATTTATTTTATTCATTTGATTCACCTAGACCTTGGGAAGTTACATGTCAGACGAATCAACAGCATGATATTTTATTTATTTATTTTATTCATTGGATTTATACCCCACCCCCCTAGACAGCGTCTACTCGAGGCGGCTTACAAAATCATAAAATATCATTAAATGACAATAAAAATATTACAATCATAGTCAAAGACAATCATAATCGATGAGCTTAAGCCCTCCGTAAGTGAGCAGAGGGAAGGCAGTGTGCTTGGTTATTTTCAGCAGAATCCTAAGCCTTATGACCCCCATAGAGTTGCATAGAAGCATGAGAGGATATGGGGACGATTTTCCGTCCGCTATTACACGTCTCTCACAGAGGTGCAGTGGTAAATTTGGAAGTGGAGGAGCCCGTTGTGACGAGTCTCCATAGCTACCAATATTTCAGAAGGAGAGTTCCAAAATGCGGGCAGCTGGGTTGGTCCTCATAAACAAGTGAAGAGCAAGGCATCAGCGAAGCAAATGGGTTTTATTTGCCCGTTCAAGAGCAAGCCACCCTCTGATACTTTGCATTAGGAGCGGAAGAGCTGGCAAGAATATACGCTTTCCTGGGAAAATCCATTTATCTCCAAGCGACTGAAAGGGCTGGAGCAAAGCGCAGAAGGAACCGCGAAGCCTGGGGGGTGGATGGCAGATAATGGGACAACCTTGTGTCACCTCTATGCATGCTGGGGGTGGTGGGGTAGCCCTCTTCAACTATGGGTCCCACCAAGTCAGAACTCTTGTTAATAATGGAAGGGGAGGGGAGAAGTGTGTAAGAGTTGACTGGGCACCTGGTGGGCCCATCTCCGTCGTCCATGGGAGGAAGGGTTGAATTAACTCCACTAGCCCCCCCCCTGCATCTAGTTCTCAACCAGGCCTGAGTTCGGGTCACTGGGCTGATACCCTCCACACAGTCCATGGCTGGGATCTACTGCAGTTTCTCCCACCGATCCCAGCCAATGGGCACCTTCTAAGAAGGGCCAATAACGCGGAGGTGTCCCCAGGCTCCTGGATCTTCCTAATCTTTCCTGCCCCTGATGGGTCTTCCAGAGAAAGCTCCTTTGGATGTTTCCTCTGCCAGAAATCCCTCTGGGCTGGGTTGGGGCTGAGGTGACCAGCTGGTCATCTCAGCCTTTAGGGAGTGGGTGGGCAGAGAAGAAGCACACTCCCCCTGCATCCTTGCCCTTTCAATGGGTTGGATCCGGATTACTCTCGGGTCCAAGGATTTTATCCTTGTGCACTTCCTGGACATATGTAGACGTGTCAAAGATATTACAAGAGTGATAAGAACAAAGCAAAAAGCAAAGTGTGGCACTTATTTACTGCCCCACAGCATTTCAAGCACTCTCAATTAAAATTTAATTATCCAGGCTATACCTTGTCACTCCCAGCAAGCTGGGTACTCAATTTACCGAACTCAGAAGGGCGGAAGTCTGAGTGAACCTTGAGCCAGCTACCTGGGATTGAACCGGGAACGTCAGCAGATTTTTGGCTACAGTGCTGCAGTTTAACCACTGCGCCATGAGGCTCTTGAATGACGAGGGCAAGAGAGATGTATAAAGCATCCTTCCTCAGAGTTAGACATCAGGCGTGAAGAGTCTTGGGAGGTGGCCTGTGCCATGACAGAGGTAATCTCCCAGGGCATCCCACCTACATTGCTTGGCTTGAGGAACGGCATATGAGCCATGCCTTTGGGAAACAGCCAGGGTTTGCAGGACTATTCACAGCACCACTGTGGGAAGGGTCTTCCCTGGATTGGCTGGATGGGGCATGGAGCAGCAGATTCACCACCACTGGCAGTTGCTATCCTGCTCCCTCTGATGGAAAGGCCACCCATGAAAACGCAGGTTGGCCATTCCTGCTCCACTCAGAACATCCTGCTTTTTCCTTGATGGTTGTTTTCTTCCCCTACTGCTTTAGGAGCTGTTGCAGTTAGAAGACAGGCTGGGTAGTGTGAACAGAGGGGCTGTGCAAAACACAATTGAACGGTTCACTTTCCCACACAAGTACAAGAAGGTAAGGGTTTTGGGGGAGGGGGAATCACATCTCTTTCCCACTTTCCCTTGGCCTCAACAACGTGGATGGGAACAGAAGTCCTTATGCTTTGGTATGGTCTTTCCTGTTTACTTCAATGGAAGGGACAACTCTGTGAGGCCTTATTATCACTCCGTTTAGTCTCATCGTTCAGTAACTGCCTTGGGGGCGTAAGATGCAGTGGGCTACGGTGACGGGAATTCTTTACATGCAGGGGAAAATGTGGGATATGACTAACTAAAAATAATTTGTTAAATGATCATATGCAGCTGTTGTGAATAATAGCCATTGAGTAGACTTATTCTCTTCTCAAACATGTCCAAGATGCTTTTAGTCCCCTTTGGGGCCCACAGTCACCCCTAAAACATACAGATGCACATTCCAGATTTTAATAACATGTGTGGAAACAATAGCTTCCCTTCTCTCAGTCCCCAATATTTTGCTAGTCAGTTCCACATGAGATGCCCCTGGATTCTAGCACCAGTTGCTTGAATCTTAAATGTGCAAACCTGGGTCTTTTTGGAACCAGAAAGAACAGCAGCAGCAACAAAACTTGCGTCTTGAGTCTCTCCATAAGCTGCTGTGCCAAGAGGTGCCTCATTAAGCACAGTTTCTGCTTCTTTCGAGAGCTTCCGCGATGGCTTCGACCTGGAAGCTGAGTGACCATAAAACGCCTTGCTCAAGGCGAGAGGCTGACATGCATCCATCCACCTCTCCTTTCCATAAAGGCAGGTAGAGCACTAATGAGACTCCGTTTTTCATTGGCATTTGGAAATGTGCAGGTTTCATGAACGTCCAAGTTCTTCACTATCTAGTTTTTCACTCTGTTGCTGGTAGGCCTTTGAGGGACGTCTTTTCTAACAAAGTCATCTTTTTGATTCTCCCCCTCCCCCCCCAACAGAGAAGACCACAGGGAAGCAAAGTGGAAAAAGAAGATGGGGAGGAGTCAGATACTGACGAGAAGTGCACAATCTGTCTCTCCATGCTTGAAGATGGCGAGGATGTGAGGTATGACCATTCTCCAGGGGATGCTGGCACTTACTTTTCCTGCATCCCCTCTCTTTCTTCTATCTCTTGCTTGACTGACTGGCCTGCAGATGGACTTTGGCCCCCAGGTGCAGGCAACACAACCAGGACTACGATTCACAATCAACATAGCCAATAGTTGTTTTATTTATCTGTAGAAGAATACAACATCTTTATTGAACCACTAAAAAAACCCCAATCAAACAATGTGAACTTTCATGAATGAAAAACCATTTCTTCAGGCTTTGAGGGGGTGGGTTAATGCTTCACCCATGGTAACATGTGGCTGGAAATTTCAGACTGCCTGAATTACTGAGTGGACATTTTCAACCACATGTTTCCATGGGTGAAGCATTAAACCACACACCCCAAGCCTGGCTGTAACCAGCTTTAAACTCATTTTAAGCAGATGCCTGTCAAACTTTTTGCCATGAACCTGTGAGACATTTGTTTATCATTTTTATGCACTATCTACAGGTTTCTGGGGCATACCTGAAGAAGTGATTTTTAATTCACGAAATACTTGTATTGTTTGATGTTTTTTAAAAGTGATCTAATAAAGATCTAATAAAGGTGTTGCATTCTTCTACATGGGCAGTGTGTAATTACTACCTGGCTCCCTTTGTGTTTAATTTATCTATTATGTTTTCTATTATCTAGAAACAAACAAACAAAAAAGAGAAAATATATGGAAAAGAAAAAGAATCATACAGCAAGCTAAATGTGGTGGCGCTGCGGGTTAAACCGCAGAAGCCTCTGTGCTGCAAGGTCAGAAGGCCTGTAGTCGTTAAGATCGAATCCATGGGACGGAGTGAGCTCCCGTCAGTTGTCCCAGCTCCTCACCAACGTAGCCATTTGAAAGCATGTAAAAATGCGAGTAGATAAATAGGTACCACCACGGTGGGAAGGTCACGTGATCACAGAAGATTGTCTTTGGACAAACGCTAGCTCTATGGGTTGGAAACGGGGATGAGTACTGCCCTCTAGAGTCGGGCACGACTGGACACATTCTCAAGGGAAACCTTTACCTTTACCTAAATGCCAAAATCCTGTTGGACAACATGGAGTGCAAGTTTTCCATGGCTGGAGCATTCCATGTTTGCCCAGATGATTTTTGGCTTACAGCTGCACCCGGTGGAAGTAGTCACGTTGAAAACAACAAGAATTTCGCGGCAACGATAGTAAAACACAGAAACCCAGCCTGTTCCTTGACGCCCGAGCAAGTAATGAAAAGCATTCTATTATTCTCTCCTAGGCGTTTACCTTGTATGCATCTATTTCACCAAGTGTGTGTGGATCAGTGGCTGGCGACCAGCAAGAAATGCCCCATCTGCCGAGTGGACATTGAAACACAGCTGGGGTCTGACAGCTGAAAAGACTTTGGGCCACGGGGATGCCTCCTCTTATTTTGGGGTCCTTACTGGGGCGCACAGCCCTCACCGCAAATGTTTTGCCTTCTGAGCCATTTGAGTTTTTGAAGAAAGCCTGCAAGCACATTCACAAATTATTTAAGACAAATACAGAAGAAGAAGAAGAAAAGAAGAGTGAGAGGATGGTTTAATGGTTATAATGTCTAGAGGTAGGAGGAGAGCTGAGCATTTAGCTGAAATGCATGGGGACGCGGCTAGAACGCCCAGCGGAAGGACAAGAGTTAGTTGTGGAAACGAAGGTACATAGTGTGTTCTAGCTTTGACCTCTCAATCCTGCTTCTCAAAGGATTGTATATATATATACCTCTTGAATAAGTAGAAACACATTTAGGGGTTCTATAGCTATTTCTATGGATGGCTGCTGGAGCATGTGCGCTTAAGAAATGTCGTCTTTTGATGCCCCCCCCCCCGGTACTCTTTTGTTT